AATAAATAAATAAATAAATAAGATATCATCACCGCGGGGAGGGGGCGATGATAACTTCCTCAATGGCTCAAGGGGGCGTTTCTTTCAAAAAGGTTAAGAACCACTGGTTTAGATGACTGCTGCTGCTATAAAATCTGCACCCAGAGGCTTGGAAGTTTGTGGAAGCAACAAGTCAACACTCTGGCTTGCATCCACGCTCCTGCTTATCTTGGACCTTGTTCTCTGGACCCTTGGCTTTGGACTATGGCTTCTGACTATGGTTTGTGTTTTGGCTTTGACATTTTGGTATCTGCTTTGCATTTTCTGGACTTCTGATATTGGGTTGGCTCACTGGACTTTTGCCTGTTGAAACCCCCTGGGAATGTGACATTAGGAATGAACTGAAAGGTACAAATTTTCTTATGCAAAGCAACAGGTACTTACATGGCTATCCTCTTGGGAACTGCTGTTAAAAGGTCTCTTATATTTTTTATTTGTATGCAATAGTTCTGTAAATCGAAGACAGTTCATGCAACTGTTTAGTCTCATCCCTTCTTCCCCTTGCAGTTCCTTGTACTTTCTGAAAACCTTCTCCAGTATGTTTGGGAAGACCCTCCTAACCAGTGGGAGTTGTGTTGCATGTTGCTGCCTATTAGGCTGAGGCATCATACTCAAGGAGAGCTCTTATCCAAGAAAAACTTTTCCATTAACATTAGGGAATGACATTCCTCCAATGCAGCCATGTACAACAACGTCCCGTGTTCATGAGAGCAACTAGAGAGGGTTTTCAGCAGCAAAAGAGGAAAAGGAAAGAGAAAGCAGTTACTTGAACCATGAGACATGGTCCTTGAAAACTGCACTTTATTGTTTCATTTTATATACATACATTCTTCTGCTCCTCTGCACTATGATGATTAAATACTTCTGAGGTACAGGTACTTACATTTTTCAGGTGGTGTTATTGTGATAGTTTGAGCAGTAAATTCTTCATCAAAATATCTGGTGTCTGTCTCAGACGTTACTTGAGGTTTAAAAGGAGGAACGAGCTGAAGGAGTACGAAAGAACTGCATTAATGTATGTGAATAGAAGTAAGTTTAAGGCAGTTGTCTATAAAGGAATAGGTGAAACTCTTCAGATTCAGTACTTAGAATGTATTCCTGGCATTACAATAATGCTGGAGTGAAAGTCTATTCAAAAACAATCTTGTGGCTGTTGTGTTTCCTACTCCAATGATGACTCTCAGAAACAGCACAACAGAAAAAGCTGTTTTCTATTACAGCACTCTTGTTTATTCCCAAGCAAAAGTATTTAGCATCAGAACAGCAACACAAACTCTATTTTATTCCCATAGTCACAATGGAACTATGATTTCAGTTTATAAAGTGAAAGTGCCTGCAGAAAGGTTGCTGTTGTTTAATAAGAATTTGCAAATAATTTATTGTTATATCTAATATATTATGCATACTACACGAGAAGAGGTGAAAAATCTTTTTCAATAAATCACTGAGTATCATTCTAAACATTGCTATAATCTCATTTGGTTCACAGATTATGCAATCCTCTGGAAACTGCAGCTCAGGTTTTTCATCTAGTTCAATTCTTAACATAGTTGTTTCACAAAATCACAAATGATTTCAAAATTGTGGTCTTACTGTAGAAAAGAACTGACTGGAATTGATACAGTCCATAAATACAGCAATTCCAGTCTTCGCTACCCATTTACTGAACATATATGTTTCAAATTAGGATGATCACATTTTCAGCATCACTGCTTCATAGCTTATGCATTTGTATGCCATGAAAGAATGAGTACATCAGGTACATTCTGGTGCCACATAGCCTGAAAAGGGGCTCTGTATGGCTCAGCATAAGAACATGGGATGCAATAAGAGGATGTTATTCATTACCCATGAGTCGAATGCTTTTATCTACTACTAATGGCCAACAAGGCAACCTGTGTTATATCTTAAATTGCAGGAGTAGTCTTCATGTTACAAGGTGTAACTTCCAAACAGACTGGAATCTTAAGACCACTAGCTTCAAGAATTTGCCATGCCATTAGATAAGCAACCAGATGGCAGAGGTGTCCATGATCATGGAACCACAGCAATGGCTTTGGCCCAATCTTGTGTAATCAGAGCTGCTTCTACAGTAGTCTTTCAATCTCACATCCACTTTGTGAAGTAGAAATGCTGCATTCTGAAGAGTTACTTTAAAAGAAATTTAAAAGGCATTTGTGATTCAGGGACATAATTTGACATTTTTATCTTGAAAGAGCACACTCACAACATGACTGAAGCATAGCTATGTTTCAAGGACAATTTTATCTAGGCAAATATGTCCATAAATTCTTTTGGACCATGAAGCAAGATTTGCTTTCCTCTCTCTTTAAATTTAGCATTTTGTTTCTCAAAACATATTGATCACCACACTCAAGAAAATATTGAATATTAATAATCAAAGCAGGAATACATTGATCAGCTGAACAGAGAAAAAGACAAGAAGGGAAAGATATTCCAAGAAAGTTGGTCCTAGAACTACTTCCAAAGCAATTTGGTAAATTGGAATTACTAAAAAATAAAATTAGGAAACAATTGGCCCAGTTCTATCCAAGATTAATCATAAGTACTTTTAGAATCCTATACATGACCATTCAGAGTAAGTCCCATAATTCTGTGCATGCAGTGGCGCATAATTCCTTCTCAGTGTGTTCAGTATTACAGCCTTAAGTGTGTACTTCTCTAGATTAAGGCCTAGAGAATTCAGTGGAGATTGCTTCTGAGTAAACATATGCAAAATGTTATTGGCTTCAATAGTTCTTGCGTCCTTTTCGGCCATACAACATCTGAGTTAATCAATGTACTTAAGAGGGAAAAGCCTCCCACACCATCATCACTTTGCTCAAACCATCAAAGACAGATCTTTCCTGCTCCCATGTAACAAGTTCAACAAGTGTTTCATCTAAGGGTGGCTAACTCTAATGCACTCCAAATTATAATCTGTTATCTTCTGGAAGGTGTGCTAATTTTCAAGAGCAACTTCTCTATCTGGCTGCGGTAGATGGGCTGTGTAAAATGTGTTCACTTCACATATGGAAGTGCTCTTCCCTATTACAAAGCCACACCAGGTAGAACCTAGTGTATTTTAATGCCTGCTAGTAATATTTATTATTGTGATTATATCCTGGAAAAATATGAAGTACTGAAATATTTAGGTCAATATGCAAAATCTATGATATCCCATCTAAGACTGAGAGTGGGCAACTTCTTTGAGATCAGAACCATTTCCCACACTAGGCCACTGGCCAAACCCTAAACAACCATTTCTATTAGTCTTTACTAGCATGCTTCTTTAATTTTCATTCTATTCCTCCTCTTATCAACCCACCTACTTTATTTCTTCATTATTACTTACAATATAATTACTTAACTGTCATCACCCTTCCCCCATGCTTCCCCAATTTCCCATGTCTTAATGATTTCTCTTTTTTTCATTATTTTTTTACCCTTACAACATGGAGGAGGAAGACAAAACAGCATCCCACGGCAGCAATTAAGACAGAGCTCTATGGTCCTGGATGCTGATAAAGTGTCACCAAGATCAAAGAGATCTGGAGTGCCCATGAAATAACATGTTGCAGGAAGTAAACTTTTTTGGGGAGCAGTGATATATTCACTCCAGTTTGAAGAATGAATATTAGATGTTTCAGTCCTGGGGGGGAATATGCAGCCCATATGCCATGTTTCCCCTACTCTTGATCTGCATATATTTTTGTGCTCCAAATATGTCAGAATAATTTACTAGTGGCAAAATATATTTATAATATAGAAACAGAAAAATACACGGTCACATGTGGCCATAGGTTCAAAGGGAGGTCGCATAAGAGCACGCAGAACTAATTGAAGGGATCAGTGAGGAGTTGGAGGCTTAATAGGCAGTCTGATGTTATTAAGCCCCTTGAGGAAAGACTTTAGAGTAGGGTGAGAGAACAGTTTTGCTGATTCTGACTCTCTAGGCTGGAACGAAACAATCGCAGCATTATAGACCCTGAGGGTCGAAATAGTCAAATTGTGGTCAAAAAGGTAACGTAGATACTGGAGTAAAGTCGATAATGAGACAGGAGAAGTCTCCAGATGTCTGGTCTAGGCAAATTTTAGGAAATTCTTCCATTTGTAACTATATAGAAGAGTTGTGGAAGGTTTTCTAGCGTTGTCTAGGACCTCCTCGATAGCGGGGAGATTCTCCACACTGTCAGATGCAAGGTCTCTGAATCTGGATGGAGTATGTTGCCTGCATCCTGTGTGAGGAGGTGCGGGAGAAATGATAATTTGATGAAGTCCGAGGCCATCATTTGAAGTGTGGCGAACCACGCCTGGCGAGGCCAGTAAGGTGCAATGAGTATCACCTCTGCCTTCATCTGACAAATCCTGATCAGAGTCTTTTGTACCAGTGGAAGTGGTGGGAATAGGTATAGTAGGTCCGAGCTCCAAGGTATCATGAATGCATCCCCCAGAGAATCCTTGCCACGACCTGCCCTTGAGGCATATAAATTGCATTTCTTGTTGTGCTGGCTTGAGAACATGTCCACCCTGGGAGTTCCCAACGACAACATAGTGTGGCATAGATCTCGTTGTTCAACTCCCATTCGTGAGTTTGGCCTTGTAGACGACTTAGTCTGTCCGCTAACTCGTTGTCTGTTGTCGATACATGTATTGCTACTGAGAAGATGTGATTTTGATAACACCATATCCAAAGGTGCACAGCCAGGAACAGAAGAGATTTGGAGTGTGTCCCTCCCTGTTTGTTGACACAATACATGGTCGTGGTGTTGGCGGTGATCAGTTGCACACCACAACCTTGTATCAGGGGCAGAAAGGCTTTGAATGCTTTTAAGTGCCAGAATCTCCAGATGGTTGATATGAGGATTTTTGTCTCGATGGGACCACAGAGTATGTACCTGGTGTTGTCCACAATGTGCCCCCCATCCTGTTGGGCTTGCGTCCGTTGTCACTTGTACTGAGAATTGTAGAGGTTTGAAGGTACGGCCTATTAGCAGATGAGGAGGGAAGCTCCACCACCGGAGTTGCTGAGCTAGCTCTGGTGACACAAGGAGACATTTCTTCTGGTGATCTTGCATGGGATCGAATAGAGTCAAAAACCAAGTTTGGAAGGACCTCATCTTCAAATTGTCCCCTCATGGATTGCTGCCTTGTCGTGGCGAAGGGGCCTGAGTAACTCAGAGAAGCTATGGACTATGCCATGCAGGGCCACCCAAGACGGACAGGTCATAGTGGAGAGTTCCAACTAAATGCAATCCACCTGGAGTAGGAAATGGCAATGCCACTCCAGTATCTTTGCCAAGAACGCCCCATGATCAGAAACAAAAGGCTAAAAGACACGACGCTGGAAGAATTTTATGAAGATTTACAACAC